TGTTTGATTACAGGAAAAAAAATATCCTCACATTGGTTCTCAGCATCTTCAAAAAATTTGTTCACGAATTGCACCTCTTTTGGATAAAGAGTTTCCTCCAGTTGTACAAAATGTTTCATCTCTTCTTGGTGCCGGTAGGCAATCATTACTCCGAACTGCCTGGCACATTAATCGTCAATGGTATAGTATTCGAGAGTATGCTGCAAGATTGCATCAACAACCTCTTCTGGACCCACCAAGTTTTTCAAGGCAGCATAACATAGGTAATTGATTTACAGATATATTTGATTTGTTGCTTACTATGTGCCCCTACATGATTTCACAAATCAACGTGTTAACTGTTTCTTCAGTTAAAGCCCTATTTGGACGAGAGCAATCTGGACCATTTACTAGAAAATTATGTGCTGGCCCCAAGCTATATGATAAATTTCAACTGTACCGAAGAACATTAGGTCACCTATCTGCTGTTTACTGTGTCCTGTTTGATCGGACAGGAAGATACATCATAACAGTAAGAAAATGCTGGTTCATTCAATTTTTATGTATTGTAATTTTATTAATTTATACCTTTTTCATTCAATTATTTAGGGTGCTGATGATTATTTGGTTAAAATATGGAGTGCTCTTGATGGGCGATTATTATCAACATTAAGAGGGGCTTCAGCTGAGATAACAGACATAGCAGTTAATAATGAAAACACACTCCTGGCTGCTGGAAGTTGTGATAGAATATTGAGAGTTTGGTGCATGCAATATTGTAGCCCAGTAGCTGTCCTTACAGGACACACTGGTATGATAACGTCTGTTAACTTTTGCCCAGCTGTAGTAAATGACATTAGATATTTAGTAACTACAAGCACTGATGGTTCTGTAGCTTTCTGGTCTTACATTCATCAACCTGGAGCTCAGCAGGGCAAACAAGTCAAGTTCACGTAAGGATTTGTTTACAGAGAAAAAGTATGGGAGGAGGGAAAGTAGATTTTGAAGTTTTATTGCTAATATATATCATTTGTTATCCTTAACAGATCTAGACCGATTCAGTATAATGAAAGAATGCGTCCTGGCCAGGCACAAATGATATGTGCCTCTTTTAGCCCTGGTGGCATGTTTTTAGCTGCTGCCTCAGGAGACCACCATGTCCGAGTTTACCTCATGGAAGGTGATGAAGGGCCTCACAGAATTTTAGAAACAGAAGCCCATACAGATCGTGTAGATTCCATTAGCTGGGCTCATAATGAATTGAGATTCATATCGGGATCAAAGGATGGTACAGCTAATATTTGGTACCATGAAAGACAGCAGTGGAAAAGCATTAAACTTCTTATGTCACAGAAAATGCCAGGGTAATTTATGATCTACTCCTACTAGTTTGCAAACGAGGATGTGATTATTTTTAGTATGTCCATTTTATAAATAAAATTTAAAATCGTTTTTCAGAGAGAAAGAAACTGATGAAGACAACAAGCAGAAATTAAAAGTAATGATGGTCTGCTGGGACTTGACTGATCGATTTGTTATCACAGCTGCGAGTGACCATACTTTAAAAGTGTGGAACTCTGATACAGGGGTCTTGGTTCATGTTCTTCTTGGGCATCAAGATGAAGTGTTTGTTTTGGAGTCCCATCCTTGTGATCCCCATGTTTTACTTAGTGCTGCACACGATGGAAATATGTTTATTTGGAATACTGCAACTGGACTCCCAATAAAGAAGTTTCAAAATTTGATTGATGGACAAGGTCATGGTTCAATATTTGATGCTAAGTGGTCGCCAGATGGTACAATGATTGCAGCAACTGATTCACATGGCCACATAATAACTTACGGGCTTGGAACTGGTGGAGATAAATTGCAATTTGTAAGATATATTATTCCCCTTATTCGTTTGCAGTTAGTAGCAAAACAAAACCAAAAAAGTTGAATAATCTAATCATTTTTATGTTTTTTGCAGTTGCCAAAAGAACTGTTCTTTCATACTGATTATAGGCCTCTTATTCGGGATGCAAATCATTTTGTATTAGATGAGCAGACTCAAATGGCTCCTCATTTAATGCCCCCACCATTCCTTGTTGACATTGATGGCAACCCATATCCTCCTCCACAACAGAGACTTGTTCCAGGAAGGGAAAGTTGCCCTATGGATCAGTTAGTACCTAATATAACAGTCAGTGCTGGTGGTAAGTAAAAATATTTTAAAATTCTAAAACCAACTGTGCGTTTTTTCTTAATATTAATGATAAAACCCAATTTGTTTCATTAGGTCACCAGGAAGTCATGGGAAATGCTGATCCCCCTGAGCCAAGGTCTCACATTGATGAAATGATTGCTGTTTTAGCACAGCGTCAAAATTCTGTCGATGAGGCTGGCCCTAGTGCTGGAAGACAGGCAGGCCCCAGTCATACTCCCGCTCGAAGTAGTACTCCTGGTGGTAGCGCCCATACTGCTGGGCCAGGGGGCAGTGGAAGTAATAGGAATAATACTTCTCCCAGACAAGGTAATACATGTGTACATTTCATTTTTAATCAATTGAGCATAATGACAAAAGTATCCTGAAAAGCTAGTCCTTTCTAAAACAGATTTTCTGCTCATACTGAGTACTAAATTCTTTTGGCACCGCTTATTAGTTTAAATGATCCCTGTTGTTCTAAATATAAATACTGTATTGTGCCATTATGTGTCACTTGACTATGTAGTACTTGGATTCGCTCATCTTCTTGGTCCACATAGCTTGCTCTCACTATTATTTGGGTTTTTTAATTCAAAAGATTGCCGGCAGCATTCTTTTGCAACATCTTTTGAATCTTAAGTGTGGTATTTTGAATCAGTACCCCAAAGGGCTACAAATTGTCACAGGGGTTTGATTGTATTAGATTTAACAGATAAATAACAAATATACACACTAATTGGGGTCTCAAAAGAATTTATTTCTAAAACTGAGCAGAAAGTTATCTAAGAGGAGACTGGCCATCGTTAAAATAAAATTACTTCAGCCATTTATAGCTTTATTGCCATTCAAAGTATAATTTTCATTGCAGGAGGACATCATTTGATTGGTATGCGACGTACTGGTGATGTGGAAGGTGTTAGGCAATCAAGTGGCAATTGGCAAAGGGACAACAGTGTTCGATGGACCAAGAGAGTTTTAATTCCCTCTCTCTCCAAGAATGCTCTCAGGGCCAGGAGACATCATTTGTATGTTCAAAAATAGTATTTTTACTGAAGTCCTTATTGTGCTGTAATGTATTTTACACTTAAGTTTCTCTTTATCACTAGTGCTCAGTCTTCTACTCAAGAGCTGGAACAGTACAAGCGAGAGCAGAGGAGGAGACCAGTAATGATAACTGTTACTGCACAAAGCAGGGTTAATAAGAAGATGATTCGCAGTGGAGCTCTAAGAAATGGAGCTGTGAGAGGCATATCAAACCTACGCCGTTCCCAAAGATCTAATTTGGGTCAAATGGATGACAGTGATTTTGAGGTACTTATCAGTGATCATTATTATCTATCAACATAATTTAGTTAAGTTTGTTTTGTTGTTCAAATTTTAGAGTACCACACAAAGTTTTTATAGATTTAGTTTTGTCTTCCAAAATTGAAAACAGTTAAATTTGTCTTTACAAAATCAGTCTTAATTTATTCAGTTAAATCTAAATCTTTTCAATACTTGTTGACAGAACCCTGATGATCTAGACCTGGGGAGCCAATCCTCAGGAAATGAGGAAGATGGACCTGCAGTAGTCAGCAACAACCGTTCTCGCACACGCAGGATCAATTCTTCTTCAGATGAGGATGTTGAAAGTATTGGATCCTCATCGCCAGCCTCATCCTCTGAATATTCTGATTGGATTGCGGACCAGGGAGCAAGCTTAGAACCACCTAAACGTGCAAAGAGGAAACCAGTTAGAGCAAGTGTAAGTTTTAAACTTTTTCACTGTGGTGTGGATGACACCACCCAATAAAATTGTTACTTTTAATTTGTAGGCTAGAGCAAGGCGAGCTGCTGCCTCAGTGGAGGATTCTCATTCGGATGAAGAAACTGATGACAGTGATGAGCCTGTTTTAGAACCAGACTCAGAAGAGGAAAGAAAGAAAAAACCTAAACCAAAACCAAAGCCAAAGCCTAAAAGGAAAATGCCTCCTATCCCTGCTGTGAGTTGCATTAACCTCGTCTCATATTTACCACAAGGTCCAGTACATGTTTTAACTTCTCGAAAATTTCCAGGCTTTGGCTTCTATGCCAGCAGGGACTGAAATTCCTGAGCGTTACAAGCCGTCAGAGTGGTTGTCACAAGTTGTACCAAAGAAATCACCATACAGCCCTCAAATGGGAGATGAAGTCATGTTCTTTAAAGAAGGTTATCAAAAGTATTTAGAGGCAGTGCGTACTAAAAAGGAGTATGAAGTTGGTCCTCAATGTGAACCGTATGAGAAGTTTAACCTTGAGGTATGGTTGCTTTATGAACATCATACTGTGTTATCCACTTTCATCAAAATTTTAGAGTTGAAATAGTGTTATTGTTACATTCTCTTCTCAGGAGCCTCAGCTTGCAAAAGTCGTAGGAATCAAATATGAAATCAGACCACCCCGCCTTTGTTGTCTGAAGTTGTGCGTGCTATCACCAGAGGGTCATATGTCTCGTAAATTTTTCACATTGAAATATCATGACATGAATGATGTCATAGATTTCTTTGTGCTGAATCAGACTTACCAACAGGCTATGGAGCGAAATTTCCAAGAAGGTTCGAATGCTTTTTCATTTAGTCAGTCATCTCTAATTAATGTACATTCTATTATTCTTCTTTATCATTCCGCAGGTGACCGGTTCAGAAGTATGATCAATGATGACTGGTGGACTGGAGTTGTGGAGTCTAAATTAGAAAAAGAATCACCATTCTTATCAATACGGGTGCAATGGGATTCTCAAGAGACAGAGTTCATGAGTCCATGGGATCTTGAACCTGTTGATCCAAACCGTAAGTATTGAAAACCTTCATAATGATTGTTACAATATAATTTTGTTTGAAAGCTCTATTGAATTTAGATATTTTCATCTTCAATTAAATTTGTTCAGGTCAACCCGAGGATGTTGGTGGGTCTGTTCCGGTTTTGCCAGAAGAAATTGAAGCCACTTTATACCAACCAAGTGAAGAAGAGTGGCCAAATGGAGGAAGACAGGAGTCTACTGAACGCATCCTGCGTGGTTTAGAAGGTGTTATGGAGCTTTCAATGGCTGAGATTTTTCTTACACCAGTGGATATCACATTATACCCATCATATGCCTATACAATTGAATACCCCATTGATCTCTCACTTATTAAGGTAGGCAGTTGTTAGTTAGTGAACATGATATTGATAGTGTGAAAGTGTAATGCCATGTGTGTTATCTGTCTTTATTAGGCCCGTTTTGAAAATAACTTTTATAGGAGAATTACTGCAGCACAGTTTGATGTTCGTTACTTAGCAACTAATGCAGAAAAGTTTAATGAGCCCCATTCCAGTATAGTAAAATCTGCACGCATTATCACAGAACTATGCCTTAAAATTATATCGTAAGTTGTATGCCATACACCATCATTTAAAAAAGATTTTTACCTTGGACAATTACATGTGTATTTTTATTCAATTCAGGTCACCAGAAGATATTGATGTGAACGAGGAATACCATCAAGTTGCAAATGGTTATCATTCATCCCCATCTGGCTCAGAGGAGATAGATGTAGATGTTGACCCAAATCAACCTGGGCCAAGTGGTGTAAATCGGCCTATTCGACCTAACAGAGTTCTTAAAGGTCAGAGAAAATCTGTTCGTCAGCAAGCTCTTAGTATTGACCCAGATGATTGGCGTCGTCAATGTATTGATCTGCTGGAACTATTGTGGCAGCAGGAGGATGCAGAACCATTCAGGTAACCAGCTTTGACTTATGTTGCATTTTTTCTTGAGTCAGCTTTCATCCACACTCGTATACCTACATTGTGTGTGTTTTGTTCCAGGGAGCCTGTCAATACAGAAGAGTTGGTTGGTTACTTGCAAATTGTCAAAACTCCAATGGATTTATCTACTATTCGCACAAAATTACTAGAGGGGGATCATAGAAATCCTCATGACTATGCACGAGATGTTAGACTTATATTTTCTAACTCAAAAAACTTTAATACAAACAAACACTCAAGAGTAAGTTTACATCTAAGTTAACTCTATTTTCAACTTCGAAGACCATTCCTTCAACTGTAGATCACACATGTGATGAAGTTTTGTTCACAAACTAAAAGGGTAGTAGAGAGAAGACAATTAATAGAAGTGGTAGACAGTATGGAACTTGTTACACCGGTCACTCAGTTAATGAACAGAAACGAAACAAATCCCTCAAGTCCAAAGGTTGCAGTTCAAGCATGAGCTACAGAATTATGTATTCTTATAGAGAATATTTTGCATGCTGCCCACTTTTTGTAGTTAACATTGTGCCACATCTATAGCACCTGTACTTGTACCCATCCAATGCAAGATGCTTTGCAAATTTCAATTTTGGTGTATTTTATCTTCACCCAATTCATGCGGTTCTGGCCTGCTTGCTTTAATTTTCTATGCTTCTTGTGTTATGCTATCTAAGGAAAAGGAGGAGGTGAGTTATGGTGAGGCATTTTGCGTCCCCTTCAGAGGTTTCCTTCATTGGTTTCTCCCTTCTATTTTTTGTTTGTTCCTCTGTTGTTGTTTTTTTTTGTGAATTTTTTTGAATGACTCCTTTTAAATGCACCTCAATTATTATTCTCAAATAATTTTAACAGTTGTCATTGTTGCTTTCCGTCAAACTAAATGCACTCCTCAAGTGTACATCATTTATTTTCTTGGTATGGTACAAGGGCGCCTGGTAAGAACTTATGACTTTTCCTGTAGCCTTTTGACCAGTGGAAATTCATTAGCCGCTCAATTCATTTTTTAAATCACTAGGTGGGGCTTATAATGCTTCCCCCCC